AAGTCCACTAATAATATTATTTAATTGTAATAATTTAATAATCCATCTATCTTTAAATATATTTAATAAATTTTTTCTTAAATTACTATTTTTTGCATATTTCATTACTATCATATAATTCAATGTATATGGATCTTGAGTAAATCCATATAATTGAATAAGATTTTTATTTGAATAATATTTTAATTGACTAAAAAATATATAATGATGTTTCCACTAAAATAATAAAAATTTGTTTAAAATTTATAATTTAAGATTAAAATAATCATTAATTTCATACCTCATTTAAAATTCTTTATTTAAATTAGATGACTTATTAAGACATTTAAGTGATACTTTAATCTTATTACTTCTAATCCAATTTTTATTATCATATGAATAAGATCTAATAAATCAATTTAACCAAATAGCTTTATATATAGTACTAAATCCTCCTTTATCAAGAAATTCAATATTTACTAATTTATTATAAGGAATCTATTCTAATATTTGCTTTGTATTTTTAGCATTCTGTTGAATTTCTTTAATAAATTTATTAATAAATTTATTATTACTGGTTCAATTAGTAAAATTTTGATGAAACAATTTAGAATAACATTCTTTACACCACTTATATCTAGTATTTTTTGTATTACAAATTGAACATATTCCTTTTTTCTAAATAAATATTTTATATTATTAGTATTATTATTACAATTTTATTATAATTTTAAAATGAAACTTACTAAATTTAATAATAATTAAAAATTTTACAAATTTATTGCATATTTTTAATATTTTAAATTAAATGTTATTTTATATATTAAAGCAAATTTGCAAATAATAAATAAAAATAATTTACCAACTAATAATAATATATTTTAAATAAAAATATTAGTTGAGTTTAAATTACAATAAAAAGTATAATTAAATACTAATAATCAATAAAAATAATTTACAATCTAAAATTTTAAATTATTTTTTTAAATAAAAAATTTAGTTGAGTTTAAATTACAGTAAAAAGTATAATTAAATACTTATAATCAATAAAAATAACTTACAATCTATTATATTATTAATTATTAATTATTTTTTTTAAATAAAAAATTTAGTAGTATTAAATACTAATAATCAATAAAAATAACTTACGATCTTAGTAATATTTATGATTTAAATAAAAAATTTAGTTGAGTATAAATTACAGTAAAAAGTATAATTAAATACTGATAATCAATAAAAATAACTTACCAACTAATAATAATATTTTTAAATAAAAAATTTAGTTGAGTTTAAATCACAGTAAAAAGTACAATTAAATACTGATAATCAATAAAAATAACTTACCAACTAATAATAATATTTTTAAATAAAAAATTTAGTTAAGTTTAAATTACAGTAAAAAGTAATAATTAATTGATTTAAATAATTACTTTCTATAATATAAATTGTAATTAATATCATTTAAAAATAAAAAAAAAGTTAATTTTATTAATAAATTAATTTTACGTTCTAAAAGATTAAAATATAATTTAATAAGGTTTCAAATTATAATAAATCATATAATTAAGTATATATTCTTAATAAAAACAACTTACCGACTAAAATACCATTAAAAATTTTTAATTTATTTAGTTATGTTTAATTTCAATAAAAAAAAAATTTAAAGATCTTACTCCCTATATTATTAACGTTAATTGTTAGAAATTATTTAATCAATAACTTAGGATATATAAAAAATAAATATCTTACAAGCTATATAATATTAATATTTAATTAATTAAGAATTACAGTTTATTTTAACTAGTAGATGAATGTTCATTACAATATATAAATTCCTTTACCATCTATATCTTTGCTAAGAATTTGATATATAATTAATTAGAAAAAGTATTATTAATTTTATCCTCAACCTAAAAAAACTATGTATTCAACTCTCTAATATCATAAATAAATTAATTCATTATTTATTTTTAGTAGAAAAATGGTTTATAAATATCATTACCTCCTACAAATTTAAATATTTAAATAAGATTATATGTTTAAACAATTAAAACTTTATATTCTTACATCTTAGTAACTTCTTCAGAGGTATTTAATGTCCATGTATCGTTCGCATTAATTTCTAGTAATTTGTTTAAATCTGCAAGAGATTCCTCATATTTTTCGATTATACAAAAAGTTTCTCCTTGATATCTTAATGCAAATATATTATTTGCCTCCAATTTTAGCAATTTTATCAAATCTGAAAGGGCTACCTCATATTCACCTATAACAAAATAAAATTTTTCTCGGTATTTTAGTACGTGTTTAGCTTCTGATGATTTCGTTAACTCTGCAAATCTATTAATCTGTTGACTTATTAATTTATCATTATATGGATTAAGAATGACAGCCCAATTCTCCTTTAAAGATTCATCAATATCATCATCATTCATCGCTAAAATAATAATTAATATTAATAAAATAAGTAAAGAAAAAAGAAACTAAATAAAATACATACCTGTGTATTTGAACTTTTTATGGCCAAAGTTTGCTCCTATAGATCCACCTTGCGACAGCATTCAAACACAAGGATACAAAGCATTTTTCACATCTCGGAATGCGATACCTTAAATTATAATAGACATTAAATCGACTTAAAATAACCAAGCATTTTAAAGAGTACATAACTACCTAGATTTACACCGTTTCTGGTATAAAGTAACATATTATTTCTAAAATTCACATAGCATCCAATAGTATCACCAGTCATAAATTTTGATCCATATGGCTCGCCAGCGGAATTAAAAAAATCTTTTCCATCACCATGATAACCCCATGAGCTATCTTCCCAGCCTACAATATAAATAGTAATATAAATAATTTTATTTATCAGTTCATAAAAAGAACAGGTTAAATTACCTGGCATTTTATTTAGGCTAGCTGATTGTGTATAAAACCCGATTCCAATCTCCCTATTGAATTTGAAAGAATAAAATTATAAATAATTGATTTATAGAAACTAATATTCTAAGTTTATAACATATCCATTTTCCCCATTATTTATAATGTTGACTTCAAAATAAAATAATGCACATCGTACAGGAATTGGATAATTTGCTCGAATTGCAGCACAGTTTTCATTTTCACCCATTCCTTATATTTAAAAAATTTAATTATATAAGAATAAGTGATTCTATACGAAACAGCAAATTATTATAACAGTTATACAACATGAAATGTAACAAACTCACCTGTATAAGTCAGAATAAGCCTGTCAAAATTTTTTTTTAAAGATTAAGTTCATCATTAATATCCCATGCGGTTGGTAATTCCATTTATTGTGTAATCCTATTAAAAATAGTATTATGTGTGGAAGCTTTAAATACGATTCGAATTTTATTTTTTTAAGGAAAAATACTTTGAAACATTCATTATTCTCATTGATATTTCATAAATATTCATGTATAATTTGTGTTACATTAAATGAAAACCAATGAAAAATAAAATCCAGCGCTATGGTCTGATACTTTTTTTGATATTTTTTTTTTTTTTTAAAAAAAATATAATACACAATATTATTAACTTTTTATCTGAAACTGATTCTAATGTGAATTTATGTAAAAAAAAAATATATATATATATAGCTTAGGCTTTTATTCCTACACTTTTACCTTGATTGTTATTATCAGACATACTTATAAAATTTATAAGAAAAAAAAATTTTTTAAATTTATTTTCAACCCAATTAACTTGTACAATGTCAATGTGTACAATAGAGTATGATCGATAATGTTAATCATACAGAGTAAAATGTCAAATGCATGCATTTATTCTATCGATCTTTTTTTTAGTTAAAAAAATTCTTGGCGCAATTTCCGAATCAGTATAAAGCTTTAATTACTGCAGCCTTTTGCTAACCATAAAAAAAATGTCTTTGTCAAGAAGTTTCTAATGTTTATGAAAGTTTACTCAAACTTGATGAAGGATATGATGTTATTATACATGCCGGTGAAAATGAAAGCAGTAAAGAATTTCATGCTTTTTCAAATATTTTACGTGTAAGGTTGATCTTCGTAATGAACTAACTAAAGAAAATGTTGAGAAAAGGGATGGAAAATTCATTTTAAAAGTATCCAATATTTCTTCACATTTTTTTAAAATTATCTTAAGGTAAGGTATATAAAGTGAGTTGAATATACATACGTACAGCAATTACAAAATAACATAAAACTAAAAGTTTTTTCTTTTTTAAATTTTAGATTTATTTATTGTGGAAAAATTGACTCAAAGAAATTGGAAGGGCCAGAATTATTAAAACTTTTAATAGCAGCAGATGCGATTAATCTTCATACTTTAGTTTCCATAATTGAATATTTAATAATCATCACGAGTTTTTACAGCAAAATCCTATAGGAACTCTTGAAATAATTTATCAAAATCCTGAAGCGTTGTTTAATTCTGAAAATTTTATCAGTATAAAATCACCTTTATTGGAATTATTTTTGAAACGGGATGATCTATGTTTAGAGAAAATTAGTATTAGGTATTGATTGTTTAATTAAGTGGGGTCATGCTCAGAATCCTTCTGTTCCTGAAGATGTCAAAAAATGAAGCAAAGAAGAAACTAATATCATGAAAAGAACTCTTCATAGATGTATCCATTTAGTTAGATTTCATTATATATCTTCAGATAATTTTCTTAAAAAAGTACTTCCTTTTAGAGATTTATTAACAAAAGATTTGTTTGATACTTCCTTAGCATTTTATTTGTCAACAGACAAGAAATTAAATAGCGAGATACAACCACCTAGACAATTAACAATTGTTTACGATTCAATCTTGTCTTGGTTACATCTTGGCATTTTCTGTATTTATGAGTTGGATTGATAAAAAAAACAATTTACTTAATAGTTTTAATTTAATTTATCGGATGGTATTACACCAGCAGCGTTTCATCAAAAATGTGATAATAAATCGTTATAAATTAAAATTAAGGGAATGGAACAAATTGTTGGAGGATACAACCCACTTCAATGGAATTCAAACTTAATAGAATAAAACTGCAAATAGTTTATATTCTCATTTAAAAAGGGAACGGACATTCAACTGAGAATATAGGTTATAATGATGGTGTTAAAGGTTCTATAAGTTGTTATCTGACTGTGGACCATTATTCAGCTATGAAGATTTAAGATTTGATGACGAAGACGGTGGTATTTGGTCAAGCAAACAAAGTTCATATCCCCAAGTTAATGGTATTCCTGCGAGTTTTAAAGCGGACGATTATGAAGTATTTCAGGTTATTAAAAAAATAGAAGCTTAAATATAAATCGCATGGTCTTATAGGATCATGCTGAGTTTGATTAACTTATATTTTTTTATAATATACTTTATTTGTATTGATTGTACAATATTGAACATTAGTAGCTTATTTGCATTCAATAATCTACAAAATTCAACCCCGGGTTTTAAATTTAGAATGTAGTAAATAAGAAATTACCGCTTTACTAGAAGATGGGAGGAAATTAAGTATCCTTGAAATTAATAGTTAATTATCGTTGTTAACCGGAGGGCTGGAAATAAAACTTAGACGATATAATTCAGTCCGTTGAATTAATCACAATAACTTTATAACAATCATGCCTGTATGAAGACACAGTAAAAGGTAATAGTAAATGAATAACAAATATCTTTATTGAACTCTTGGTTTATTTACAGCCAAGAATTTTATTTGAGAAAACAAATAAACAAATACAACTACAATAATAATATGATTAAAAGAAAAAAAAACTCAGAGGGCAAGTAAACCATAGTTAATAAGTGCATATGTTAATGCAAAATTAAAATTAACAACATTTAATAAACTATGATTAGCCGAAGTGTACGTTATCCTATACATCAAAATAAGTTAATATGGAGTATAATGAGAAGAATGTAACAAATAAACAAAATGAAACTGTTTGCTTTTCTGTCATAATTGAATATTCAAGAAGTGTCATAACATTTGGATCTCTTCTAAACGATGGCCAGAGCTTGATTTTGATCCTTATATTCCTGCAGAAGCTTGAGGGAATCTTCATACTTTTTGCGAGCAGAAGCGTACTTACAATACCAGTTGTTTAACTCCCTTGGAAGAGAAAACAGTCATTCCAAAGCTTTTGATAATGCAACTACTTCTTCATGATACTTCATAAGCAACAGTAAGAAGAAAGTAACTTGACGTTGAAGGAACTCCTTTTCTTTTTCTTGTTCTTCTTGTTTCTTTTTCCATTCACATCGAGTAAAGTTGACAAAAATCTTGAGCGTTAAATCTTAGTCATGGCGAAAAATTAAAAAGGTTAGAAAAGTAGCAATCTTATAAACTATGATAATCAACAAAACAGCAAAATACAGAAATACAGAAATAGCACTTGTCGATCATTTTTAATTTTAGAGTAATCTGCAAATTTCTTTGAATTTCTAGAATGTCGATCATTTGTAGATCATTGCTTTATTTATAATTCCAAATTTAGAAATATTCCTGACTGTATTATCTTATTATCATTGGACTGATTATTACTGAATAAGTTATATTTTCCATTTTGTAATACATGTTAGAAAGAATTGTTAGGATCTTGATCTTTGAATTGAGAAGATTTTGGAGGTCTATATCATTCTGGCTTGAAACAATCGTAAAGTGATTTGTAAGGATTAGCTGGTTTCGATTTATATAATCCTTAGATTTGTGGTTAGGTATATCACAACTTTTACAATATTTTTTGAAAGGTTCTATCTTATATAGAACTTTTTCTTTGAATTTTTGGGATTGATTGAGAGCAGCGACAAGATTATTATTATTAGCAAAATTGATGAAAGTATAGGGTTAAAGACAGTATTACTGGTCATGTAAAATAAAGCATGATTTAGCTTTGATATGAAGGAGGAAATCAATTAGTTATCTTTGATTAGTATTATAAGGTAGACCAGTTAGTTTAAGTTCATATTGTTATTTGAGAGCAATTTGTGAAAGGTCAAGATTTGTCAGATCGACTCTCAAGAAATTTTCTAAAAAGGATACAGACCACACTTGATTGTAAAATTGTTTAATAGTATTAGGATTCTCGAATATGATGAAAGCAATTTGCCAAGGTCTCCTGATGATCATAGAGAAATGAGAAATTTTTCTGTATTTGACAAAATAATTTCATACTACATCAGATTTGGTGAAAAGAAATATGTCAGACACTTTGATCATCCTGTCTTTTTCAGTATCTTATTATTGTTATTTCACAGTAGGATTGATGATAGTAAAAATAGAATTATGCTGTATTTCTTGAGTTTTTGTGAGAGCATGCTTTAAAGAGTCCATTGATTCAAAATAAACAAAGAATTTTCTAAGTTTAGAAATGTATGTGGAGTCTTAAAAACCATTAAAGTGGATAAACAAGAAGTTGATGAATGTGCGTTTTTCAGCTACAGATTTTCTTTTGATATCAGATGCATTATCAATCGCGTAAAAATGCATAGGAGCAGTAATAATATTGAATGTAGCTTCATTTAAACCTTGATCATGTGATTTTACAGTTTCCTCAACTTTGTTAGACCATAACTGTTTCTTATTTTCTTTGTTAATGGCGGAAAGATGTATTTGAAACTAGTATCCTTGAATATATTATCTTCGTTAAAGTTTGTGTGTATAGAGTCATTGGTGGTTAGTTTTGGTGGTATAAGAGTGGAGTTAATAATTGAGTTAGATGATGAGTCAACATTCATATCAGCTGGTAGCAAAATTCAGAGGAGTTATTTATAGGTATTAGAGTCATATTGAAAAGTGTGTCATTGCCTAAAATTATGTTTTCGATAATATTATGGATATTCATATCAGTATTTTAATCATTTAGTAGAAGAAAAGTTTTTTGTTTTTTTTAGAGTAGAAATATCTTCATTATTTTCGAAATTTGAGAAGAAGAACCAGAGGTTTCACTATTGTTAGAAGAGTTAGTTCGTTTGTTTTTATTAGTATTTCATTAGATTTGTTTTTGTTTAAGAGTTAAGCGAGTAACGAGCAT